AGACTTACCATACTTTAGGTATCGTGGTACCAAACAGTTTATTATAACACCAACAACGAAAACAACATGAAGAAATGTTAAAATTTCAATAAAATTATACATTTTGTATGGATGGGAATTATAAAGGAAATTAGCTTAAACTTTCGTTCGTAGTAGCTCCTGAACCTAAATTGCCAGATTACTAAACCTTAGTTATCATGGTAACAAGCCTAAATTACCAGTGGAATATTAATTAAGCAGAGCAATTAGCATATTCACACACGTAGCAATATGCTCCGTCATCTTATTACCAACTTATATCCTGCCAAGTATGAAACCAATCGTACTCACCAAAATTTAGTTATCGTGGTAACACTGAATTATTATCTCTTACCGGTGCAGGGACGTAGCCAGAATTTTCAAAAGGAGGGAGCCGTCTTGCGAGGTACGTAGTACCGAGCGTGGCGAAGACCCCTGGGAGGTAGCGCATTCTGGACGTTTTAAAACTGTTTTGAGGGTATAAAGTGAAAATTGCAATAGCCACATCATAAATAATATTAGCAGGATTCGCAAAAATTATAAAAATAACTCAACAGTAGCGGATATAGGAATTTAAAAGAGAGGTGGCCCAGGGAGGGACTTTGACAGATATAGTAGGGTCGACCCACCTCAGCCCACCATGGTTGGGGCTGAGATGCAAAAATTTGAGGTAATAGTAGCTCGAGATAGCCGGAAACGACATCTTTATATAGTAAAATTCATCTTCACATCACCATTTTATATATGTCAAAATAACTCGCCTACACTTTTTTCATGATCATTTATTAAGAGATCTTCAGCAACCACAGACATCTAATTAATGTGTGATGTAGGCCTATCATAGAAAATAAAACTTAGAAACATTGTCGTTTAATGCATTTACTTTACACACTTCAAAGCTCAAGAGTCAACAACCACCTCAGTCCCACCTTGGTTGGGAGCGAGGTGAGAAGATTTGAGGAAATGACACTTTTATATAGTAAAATTCATCATCACATTTCTCATGATCTTTTATCAGGGATTTTCGGCAAACATAGAGACCTAGGTAACCCAGGACAACTAGGTCTAACTATAGCTTACTAAGCTTGAACTACGACAATTATTATAATCATTGGACAAATTACAAATATATTTTTCGCTTTTAGCACAAGTTTCTTCACTTTTTAGTAGTATTATTTATTTTATTACCGTATCTATTATCATTATTACCATAATTATCGTCATCATCACTAGTAGTAGTAGTATTATTAAACAAAACTAAAAAGTTAGCAAAAAGATAAAAACAAAACCATACATTATCACATTTCTGTATCTAAAAAGACCTGGCCTGGGATTTATTCACTTAAGACAAAGTTTAGCTGACTTTTTTGTTAAGTAAGTTTGATAAATCCACCCCCTGAGCGGTAAAGCCTTTATGTGATCCAGAAAAATGTTATATTTTGCATTAGGTTTATATATCGTTTATTAATTATAGACGTTTATTGTGGGTTTCTATCAGAGCAAGGGGTCACAAACATATAATATAGTAGAAGTGAATTAGAAATTGTACAGCATTTAAATCATTCACCAAACTCTCTGTTTTGTTGGGGGTTTTTTGTGTGTTTTTGATTCGTTTTGTTTTATTTTTTTTGGTTTTTAGGCCTAATCGTATAAAAGTGCCACGGCGTTCTCGAAGTTGACTATCACATAGCGTAAGTCAACGAAATGAGTTATAACAAACCATGTTCTATTTGTATTTCCAATCTGCGTAAACAATTCATGCTTAGGCCTATGTGTTATAATTATAGTATTATGTATAACGAGTGCTGATTTTGAGTGATCCCAGGAAAGAATAATATTGGCTAGCAAAAACAAGCTCTAAAATACTAACACTGTGTACAAAGGGAGGGGGAGGGGAGCCGCGGCCCAACTAAACTTTAAAAAATCCCTTTAAATGAAGAATACATTACAAATATAGAGGTTTGATACATTTTTAAAAATAATGATGAATACACATCAAAATAATACACAACATAAGATGATATTTTGCGTATAGTGCTCTATTGAATAGGCCTGTACTGATAGTTTAATAGTAGGGCGATATTGTTAGAAATATTGTAATGGAGATTTCGGTATCAAGATGAGCGCAGCACTTGATGTGTTAATACCCAAATGGTTTATTAAAAATCAATAACAGCATAATTATAGTAACTGTAAATCCATTCTGAAGTACTTTGAATAAAATGTTGTTACGTTTACTATTCCATTTCTTAATTTCTTTCTAAATAGCAATGCTTAAGACCACTTTTAGTGCCAGTCTTTAATTATAGGGATTATTAGAGACCAAAGCCGCGAAAGACCATCAAAGCCCAGGTCCCAAAATGTGGTCTTTAACACGACAAACCACATCATATCAACTACCTATCGTCAGCAGGACAAGTCTTAAATCCAAAGCATTTTTTTTCTATGAGCGTAAATTTGGAATTTATTAACATGTACTTTAACATTCTTTCAGCCTCTGTATTATTTTAATTAAAACCGTAAGGAATTCATTTTTGATAAAAGCACCTCTAATATTTAATTTATTCGTTTTTTATGTCAGGCATCACTACAATTGTTTTGAAGAAACTTAACCTGTAATACTTTATGTATACTAATTTTATTGCGGGACATAAACCTGACTGGCTGACCGACTGACTGACTGGCAGACTGACTGGCAGACTGACTGACTGATTGATTGATTGACTGACTGACTGACTGACAAACTGACTGACTGAGTGGCTGACTGACTGACTTACTGACTGACTGACTGACTCCTCACTCACTCACTCTCTCCCTCACTTATCCCACCCCCTGACTGACTGACTCACTCACTCACTCACTGACTGACAGATTGATTGATTGATTGATTGATTGATTGACAACACGTTTGTTGAACTTGTAGCTTGTTCCGCCGGAACATTTGGAGCAGGATGTTCTCAAGTATGTCATTGTAATAGTGGTACATGTAATAGGTATACCGGGAGGTGTACCGGCAGTGACACGACTTGCCAAGAACGATGGACGGGATCAAATTGTCAGGGTAGGATCGAAAATAACTTTTTTTGTTATATGAGACACTTCAAGATAGAATCGAAAAATAATACACCAATGATACATTTGCATGAAACTTTTCATTCATTTCAGAATGCGCCAAGAACTTCTTTGGTGAGAATTGTGAACAAAGTGCATGCACGCATCCGTGCACGTTATGTTCTCGCACAGGAGCATGCGTAGAGGGAACATGTCATCCAAACTGGCTGGGCAAAACGTGTGAGATAGGTATATTTAATGGGGAAAATAATAGTAACATGTTAATTCAGTATTTGTGCTAAAACGAGTAATGTTAGGCCTAAGTAAATACCAAAATATGCATTTTTAATGAAAATAATTATAAGTTATAAAATTGTTATAAATAGGCCTATTATCATTCTATTAGGCATATTATCAGTAATACACAACCCAATTGTATAAATATATAAATAAATTATTCGAATGTATTGTATATTTTTACGGTCTATAATACTTAGTGTGAAATAACATTTAGGTGAAGCCAGGCCTAACGCCTATAAATCTACGTATATTTAACTTATGACATCGGAATACATTATATAAAGTACAGTACATTTTAAGATAGTTCATTTATTTTCAAGGAATTTCTGATACCGCGTTTACTCCAGCAAATTATGGTCACATGACAGACATATATTGCATTGTGTCGACTAGCGATTCGTCAGCTTCTATCGACATTCTACTTCAAGTAACCATCGGTGATCACACAGAAAACACAACTTGGGCTTATTCAGAAGAAGATGGTGGGAAAAAAACATATATATTTAACGTACTCGCCGTGTTTGGAACCAAGTACACATGTATTATTCAACGAAAAGGTGAATACGCAGAAAAAGAAATTACTTCAGTAATTTTTCGTAAGTTTTTGTTTTATTTCAATTCAATTAAATTTACTCAAAATAGCCTCCACAAATGGAGAATATAAAAAAGCAAAACAAAATATCAATACATAAAAGTATTTTATTATCACAATTACTTTATCACCTCCGCCAAGGAGGTTAAGTATTTACTGCTGTCTGTCTGTCTATTAGCCAGATTACGCAAAAACAAATAAATGGATCATCATAAATTTAGTAGTCGAATGGTACATAATAATCGAAGAAAGACAACATTCAAAAAAATGTCAAGGGACAAGATCAAAGTAATTGTAATTCAATTATTTGCCCTCGAGCATATAAGAAAATAATAGAATCGCCCCTCGTATTCTAGTAGTATTCAAGAATATATTGTACCTGAATAGGAAGGGTGATTCCATTATTTTCTTGATGCTTTTGCCTATCGTATATTGTTAGTAATCGGGCATAGGGCGGAGGATATGCACTCTATGAGTGACTGCTCTCATTTACTCTATTTAATTGTGCATTATTAGCATGATTTAAAATACTAAAAATAAGCTATGTACTATTTTTTTTAAATTTCTTTTGCTAATTATTATTTTGCAAGCATTCTCAGGGAAAATATTTAGATAAAGATTAACGTAGATAAGAAATGTGCTGTCTTTAGGACCACCGTCTTACAATGGAAATCTACAAGCAGTCGTTCTGTCTGGTTCAGTGGTTGAAGTCTCATGGACAGAATGGAACAATGTGACAAACACTGGAGACGGCCCGATCATCGGTTACATCCTTTATTACAGAAAGACAAACGACGACGAAGACGATGACAATTGGGAACAAACATCTATAGTAAATGGTTTAACTACAATTGTGGAAGGTTTGCACTGGGAAACAAATTACACATTTGCTGTGTCAGCAGTAAGAGATGGAGATGGAGGGCAAGGAGCTATTGGGAAACAACGAGCTGTTGCAGAAATGCTCTGCGGAGGTAAACATTCACAGCGTTTTTATTTCTTTATTGCATCCACCAGTTTAAAATACCAATAACAGGATGGAAATAAAATATAAAATACAATATATTTAAAATGTGAAACGATAATATAAAAGCAGTATTAAGAAAGAACAATAAATGTCAATAAAAACGTTACAAGAATCGTGATAAGGACAGCAACCAGCAATAACTTTCAAATAATGTCACACTTAAATCGATTAAAACTAAAATGTAAAATATCAAGAATATTTTAAGAAAGACAACAATTATAAGCTAAAGAAAGGCTACAAAACCAGACAATTTTTATAGACAATGTCACGGGAGAATTTAACATTAAGAAGTGGTTTACAACGAAGATTACGGACAGGAACATAGACATGATTACAATTAAAATATGAATTTGAGACATTTATAAAGAAATTATAGGTCCTGTCTTGCTTTTCTTGATTCTGGAGAGGGGATAGGTAAGGAACCAGGCCAAATGGCAGCTGGGCTGGGCTTTCTATGGATCCGTTCTATTCTAAGAGATTGGGAAGAAGAAAGTAAATTATATATAGCTGAACAAAAATCAAAGGATGGCTAAATAAAAGAAAGATAAAGTACACGCCACGCTTGGTGGAGGGGGGAAATTGCATTGCATCAGCCCACAAACAGGCTATGGGCCGTTTTTTAACAACATGATAAACAAACGTAAGTTTGTTGAAATATTAACGCTAACATATACTGTTTTTATGTTTATGTATTTTATATTATATATGTTTACAATTATTTTATATATGTTTTGTGGTACTTTATAACTTCTATCTCTGCTGTACATCACTTACGCTATGAAGTGGAGCGGACGAATTACTTGTGTGAAATAAATTATGATCCAAAAATACCTGAACTTGACTTTTGTATTTATTATCATCGCCTTCACTTTCTTAAAAGAACCAGATTCGGTACAGAACGTTAATTGGGAGGTAGCCCAATGTGGAACAGATTCAACAAATATCATCAAAGTCACGTGGCTGGTAAGCATACTTTCAAAGGCTGCTTTATAGATGTTAGCTATAATATGGAGACAATGTATGCTTATTGTCTCCATATTATTATTATTATTATTATTATTATTATTATTATTATTATTATAGATGTATAGATGTGTGGAGACAATAAGCATACACTATAATTTATCGAAAGTTTTAACAATATTGTCCAAATGCTGCAGTGATTTACGCCTTGCACATTTTTAGTGTTATTTGGCACACCATCATGTTAAATGAACTTCTTTCACCAATGATTGTTTTTTGTTTTTTTCTTTGTTAATATCGAAATATACAAACTACTTTTACTTTAGGGAGCTTAATCAATCTTCATCATCAATCTTCATCCTTACTGAATTTTTTGCATAATAATTTTTATTATGTTTCCCTTTAAAAAAAAAAAAAAAAAAAAACAAACCAAAAGGGATTCCATTTGTTACTTTCTTAAAAAAAACAACCAAAAGGGATTCCATTTGTTACTTTCTTTATTCTACTGTACTTAAATTATTCTATTGGATAATACAAGATATTATTTATATTTTACTTGCATTGTATTGCATCACCAGGAGACCCATCACCAACAAAGCGTCTTGAAATGCTCAGACTTAACATATTACTACACTGTATATGTCAAGATAGAAAATGAAGAAGATACTGAATACGTCAAATTATATCAGGGTCCGAAAGCAGTTTTTCTTTTTGAAGACTACGGCACTGATTACGTAATTGCTGTGACGATTTCTAATAAGGACAGTGAAAGTAACTTTGTGGAGAGAACAATACATTCAACATCAGATGCAAGTATGTTTCTGCTCTATAAAACGTTATTATACCTCAATTCAATAAAGTGGTTGATTGATTTGCACCAACCCAACCCCCTTCCCCTCCCCTCTCCCACCCCTTCAGAAACTTTGATCTGGACAACACCAAAATGAACATTTAAATTCACTAGAGGGATAATATATAGTTTTCGTTTAATCTATAGGAAAAACTTGGAAAATTGCAAAATCTTACATCAATGAATTTGTATAAGGTCCTTATACATCATATAAAGCCTGGTTTCCATACAATCGCTACACGCTACCGCCCACAGCTTTTTGCTTTCGAAGCTGATATGGTCGGTCGATTCGGGGAGCCTTGCCTATTGCGTCGGGGACTGCTACGCAGTACATCGATTGCATAAAAACACTGTAGCGACAGTGTAACGATTTTATAGAAACCAGGCTTCACCGAAAGCTTTCGGCCGATAGCGTGTAGCGATTGTATGAACACCAAGCTTTATCATTGTCTGAAATAAAAATAATCTACTTCCCTACAACGTCAAGCAATCAACCAAAAAACCTGTAAAATTGAAGGTTTGCTGCCATGTACTACGGTACCATTATTCACGAGTCCATCCTCTATTTTAAAATCAGAAATCCTTTTATTAAATTCAATAGATCTTGCAGAGCAAGCACATACCTGGTTGTAATTATCATCTTAGGCTCCTTATTCGCTTCCTTGTTGGTGTACACTTTAGTGCAGTGCATACGAAGGTACGGTAGATTTTATTAACATACGGTATATTAATATTTTAGATGATAAACTAACAGAATATAATAAGTATTTTCTTCCTGTTAAAACCAATTAATACATTTCGCTTACTTGGCTGCTATGTTATGAAACAAGTTGAACGGAAAGCATTTGAAAAATTCATAATAATTATAGTAATCTTTAAAAGCGCAAATATGTCGAAATTTCAATGAGATTCTCCCCCAGACACCTTACAGGAAGCCATAGCCGCCACTGGTTTCCAACCAAATTGAGTGAAACTCAATTTGAACCCTTCTTTTAAAATGTATTATTGGAAGAACACTGGCTATCTAAATAGAGCAATATCTCTATTAGCTCATGTGCTACATTACATTATCATTAACTTCTTATTTCAGACGGACAACAGTAATGAAAGGCAAGAAAAGAGAGAATAAAGCGACGAAAGGTGAAGACATTGAGGTTTTTGAAATCTCTTCTACACATACAGCTGCCGAAAATCAAAGTGGATATACAAAGTATTCCCAAAGAATTTGCATTGATGACCAATACACCGAAATTAAACCAATACCCTTAAAAGATAAGGCCGGGTACGATCATAATATTTGAATATACTAAAGACAATTAATTAGGCCTATTCCTTGGAAATTGTGAACAATCTGAAGTGTGTATGTAATTATTATTACTTGTTCATATTAAAGCAAGTTCTTATATGACGATAATTATTTTAGTGCATATCCACGGCATAATGTAATGTTAAGTAGCGCTATGACATTGGTATTACTCCAACGTTAATCGACAACACTATAATTGTAAGATTACGAAAAAAGAAAGAAAAAAAAATTAATTGTGTCCAAAAAAAAAAAAAAAAATTAGTATTAGAGTTTATAAAACCGAGATGTAAATTATATCTGTTCCTTGTTTACACACATTCAGTATTTATAATGGAACAAAGGATTGATAAATTTAATTGATTTTGAATATATAGTCTAATCTCATATTCTTTAGGTTTTATTTTTTTTTTTTTTGTATGGTAAATTACTCATTTCAGCCAGTCGCATCCAGGCTCCACTTTTCCTCATTTTCCGTATATTTTTACAACTATTTACTACAAAACTTTTACTACTTACCATTTAATTTAAGGGTGTACTAAATTACTTAAATATATACATAGTAAGACAAAGGGACAACTATATGTTAACATTTCTCTTAGTTTATACAAAATAATTCTATGAATATGAATCCAACTTCCAAAAGAAAAATTGTTCAGGTTAATAGAGACAGGGAATATCATTCGCTATGCTTATTATACACGCTTCAACACTTGGTAAATAAAATGTCAATGGTGTTTATATTATTGTTCATATTGTTAAAATGTCTACCCCAAAATCTTTCCATGTTAATTGTCTACCTTATAAAGTACTGAAGTTGAATAGATTTTTTGTTAAATAGGGCCAATAATATAGCCCTTAAAACCAACAAGGCCTCAAAGCGCTTTACATTACCCCAGGTCATTGGTCATTGGCCAAAAGAAAAATTGTTCAGGTTAATAGAGACAGGGAATATCATTCGCTATGCTTATTATACACGCTTCAACACTTGGTAAATAAAATGTCAATGGTGTTTATATTATTGTTCATATTGTTAAAATGTCTACCCCAAAATCTTTCCATTTTAATTATCTACCTTATAAAGTACTGAAGTTGAATAGATTTTTTGTTAAATAGGGCCTATAATATAGCCCTTAAAACCAACAAGGCCTCAAAGCGCTTTACATTACCCCAGGTCATTGGTCATTGGATAAAACGCCTATGGAACACAAACTCAATCTCCTGCAGCTACATCAGCGCATTTTGGCATATAACCCTACCAGGTACCCATTTATACCCCTGGGTGGAGAGAAGCAATACAGATAAAGTGCCTTGACCAGGGACACAAGAGAAATGCACAGCGAGGGGATTCCCACCGCTGCGCCAAACCACTTCTAACATCCCTCCCCAGATTGCCATATCGTTTAGTAGTCCTAAGTAGGACCGATATTAAATTATGTTAATTAATTGAAAAGGAAATCCTAAACTATTATTATATTAAATACTTGCTGTGGCAAACTCCCCCTCTTCTCTTTGACAGGACAGCACACCAAGGCTTTACATAAATACTGATGCTATATTCATTATTCTTTATCAACTGCAGAATAAGGTGGAGGCAGTAATGGGCCAGGCCAGGCATTCCCTCAGGAAAATCCGCTTCCACATAGTCGGAGAAAAAGAAATCAATTCATTAGAAAAAATGTATATTTATATTTTGAATATTTTTTGACATTATTATCGATTAAAGTCCTAAATTTTAGAGCCTCCGGGGATTCCAACATCTGGACCTCTCCGACGAGGGATTCTGAACAACGCCTGGCTGCCTACGACCACTTACGCAGCCGTGGGGGAAATCGGCCACCCTTCGGGGATATCGGAAAAATCCTGGGGTCACCACTGATCAACTGCCTATACAGGAAATGTAGATTATCATCATAAACTGCATTGCTATAATATATCATCATGGTATTCCGCTATCGTCGGTCGTCGCCGCCGTTACTGCCGCCGTCATAATCATCATTTGGCGTACTAATCACTATCAGAAAACTACAACTGAATAAATAGTTTAAATCGTCAATTTGACATACATCATTGTTATTTTCTTAATATTTATTTTATCGAGATTGCATGAAATAAAACAACCTATCAACTTTTATAAAACTGACCTTTTTCAAAATGTGTCACAGGCAATAAGCATCAAGATGCAAAATGAGGATAATTTGAATATTGACACATTATAAGACACCAATACATTATATAAGTTCTCTGCAATAAAAATACAAATATGATGTTGATATATAAAAAGCAAACTGTATGGCTTTATCTCAACAAACACGTGTAGTTCAAATTTCATTATAATATATACTAATACATACTGTACACAACTGAATATAGGCTATGCCTGAAACCTTAGTTCTTTAAATTCGTGGCAATTATTGCATACCTACGTAAGATAATGCAAAGTCTAAAGAAATAGTTCCACACGCACATGGCAACTAGTTCTAGCCAACTAAACTTGACAACTGGCCAATCAGAACAAGGCCAGGATTATGTGCTGGTCCCACAAACACATGATTACGTACCGTAAATCATCGAATAAGTGCGGCTGTGCTTATAACCTTTTTGAAGGCTTCAGAGCGGTGCTTGTTCCAAAACAGCTCTTATTCCAGAATGGCTCTTATTAAAAAAATAATGGCATGGCCCTTTCCATCCTTGTTCCCATTTTACCAATCTAACGTATCCCCGTAGTTTTCGACAGGCCTACCGTAGGCCGTAAATAAACGTCTAGGGCCTATATAAGGATATGTTTGTGCCTTCATTATGTTATTTATTTATTTATTTGAACCGTTTCTGAAAATGTTTCATTACGCGCTTATTCAAATATTTACGGTACATTTATGCTAAGTTCTACGCAGTTGCACGATCGTGGGTGTGAAACTGGGCATGGGCGCTACGGGCATTCTAGTTTATTTGAGTTAAGTCTACGACAGCCATCATTCAGGAAGGTAAATATGTACAAACGGATGTCTCATTAATGCCCATAAGCGAGAAGCTAAACATAATTTCTGTCATTAAAGTACATCAAAATAAATTTCATTATTATCAGAACTGAATAATATATAAGTATATACATTTTTATAACCAAAAATAATTTTAATTTTGGCAGAGACGAGACTGCTAACAGTGAATACAAATTAAAGATACTAGAAATACAAGATAGAGTTCTCTACAGAGAAAAAAGTGTTTTAAAATCCATGTTGGAAATACAAACAATGGGGCACCGCGTACGGCTGGATCTCAAAAACTTCTGTCAAACTTACATCACGGTGAATCCATAACCTCTTTCGGCGGCCCATTTGGCGGAGGAAGAAATCGTTGCCACCCGTAAGATACAAACAAGTAGGCATAAATAAATAAAAAGAATAAAATAACAGACATAAAATCGCGGAATCATATGACCGGATTCTGATTAGTGATAAAGTCTCCATCATTAGCGGAAAGAGAAGGGCGCCGCGTACGCCTGGATTTACTTAGCAATAGAAGGCCGCCCTGTACGTCTGGATGTGAACTGGATAAACGTGTGTACAAAGGTAGGTTGATAATACTGTATACTGAAAACTGAAGGGTGCCGCTTACGACTGGATTTGCGTATATCCGCCTCACTTTTGCTTTGCGAGTGCTCTATCTTGTATTTCTAGTATCTTTGATACAATTTAAAAAACACCCCCTCAATGAGTGGATAATTATCAAGCACGCAATCAAATTGTCTACGATTAACAAACAGGTAAACATCCTCAATCTTAAAACTGTTACTGTGAGCGATAAACGACATTAATTTACAATGAAAATTTATGGTTTTTCCTAACCATGAATTAGTATTTTTAAATAGTTTTAGCTACAGTATACGATTATATCACAAAATAAATGTCATTTATTTGTATCAACATAATAATATGTATATGAACACATACACTTTCTTAATTACTGTAATGCCCATTTTTATGTGAAACACTTAAAACTACATTTCTACAGACACACACCATAACTAACTACCTACCTCAGTAAATACCCACACACCACTAAATATTCATCTAAATGTTAAAAGAATAAAACATTAATAATAATAATAATAACTACTGTATACAAAAATATTTATATCAATAACTATACTATCAATACAATGAAAATAATGTTTCTATATGGCTGAAAACATTTTAGATACCATATTTAAAAAAATAAATAAAATGTTGGAAAGAAAACCATAAGGTATGATTAAAATATAATCTCACATTCTTGAATTTTTTTGGGCCTTGTATAACCAGGAGGGATGTCTATGGTTTGACGAAAACCCATTTTTGAATGTACCCTCCAATAAACCAAACAACCTTCTCCACTTGCATCAAAAAACCAACAAAATGATGGAAAAATCAATTATTTACATGTTAGCATGCTACAGCTCAAATGTGTACAACATGTACGCCCTGTCTCTTATACACACTAGACATA